GCGTCGAAGGTATAAATTAAAGTCTTGTTTACAGTGAAAGAGCTGTGTGTGTGTGTGTGTGTACGTATGAAGCACAGGCCCTAAACATACAAATATAATAATACAATGCTAATTTATATGAGGTAACCTTAAATTTTGTAATTATAATTTGCATTTTGTTCTATTTCCATTAAATGCTAGAAGTGACAAAATAAATATAAATACTACTGGTAATACAGAGAATTTAGAAATTTCTCTGCAAGTTATCTCGCTTTAAATGACTTCTACGCTAAATCTTAATATGGAAATAAAGCCCCCTAGAAAAAACTGAAATTTATTTACGGCATACCCAATTCAATGTATCTAAAGAACTAATGAACCATCGTATCTCTATGGTTACGGGTTTATATTTGATGTTACAAAAGGAAACTTTAAAAATGAAGCACGTTGAAAGTTAATAGATTGTATTCTTATGTTTTTCATAATCGGAACCATATTTATTCTTTCCTTTTCAAATAACTAACCTTTTTCAGATTTTCATTGAGTTCTCTGAAGAAAATCGTAACACAAGTATTCACAATGATCATCCTTATTACGATAATATGCCTAATTTATTATTTCAGAGTTCCAATGAAAATAGCATTTGGAAATAAAGTGTTGTTATTAGAGAAACGCATCGAATTTTAACAATTTCCATTTATTACGAGAGCTGGCTTTAAAGCTCTAAGCCTATCTGTGAAAGACCTGTACAAAGCCCATGGCTTTCATATATTTTTCTACATAGTCCCCTTCGAGGTGTACTCATTTTTGCCAACGATGTTGCAAGGCCTGCCTGGCATCATCATTACTCGGAAAATGGCAACCTACTAGTTTCATTTTCATTTATGGAAACAGGCTCAAAAGTATCAAGATCTGCTTCAAAATGGCGCATATTTTCATGGGGCAATATGTCGTGTGGTCAATCATCGACCAGCCGCTACCACCATGTCATGCACCCGTGTAATGTGTTCTTGAATGGTTGCTGTTGACCGCCTTCCAGGACGAGGGTCATCGCCAAGGCTCTCTCTGCCACGCTTAAATTCCACAGCCCACCCATTTACTGTGGAAAAGGAAGAGACACCATCCCCCGAAGTTGAGACCATGTCGGCATGTATCTGTATTAGGGTTAGTCCTTTCAGTTGCAGGTACTTGATGACTACCCTATAGCCAGTTTTGACCATTTTCTTTTACCCATTTTTCACCTTCCCATACTATTTTATGTACCTATGTATACTAAATAGGAATTTTTTTTATCCAGATATACTTCGAACAGCTTTATTTATTTCTCTAATACTTCAAAGATATTTTTTAGATTAATTTGCAGAAGGAAAAAGTTTAATATTGTGGTCTATTTAACTCGCACCGATGTCATCTCTCTGGGTGAATGTAGCAGCCTTGCAAATATTCACTGCTGATAAGAGTACACCCACTCCTGCTGTGCATTGACTGACCCGATAAATGCCAATATTCAGAACCTGTTGACAATGGTAGAATGTTTGTTTTAGTTCCTCGTCTATATGATGTTATCCTGACAACAACTACACGTTGGTATTTTTTGATACTTCCTAAATACTAGTAAATGGTTCTGGGAGCCTTCTGACTAGGATAAACGAATCTAAGATTCTTCCACACAAAATTAATCAGTATTATTCACGGAAATATAGCGGGGGTGTCTCCTTTACTGCTTAATTTATCGCCCTGGCTTCCTTTGTAGAATCAGTTGAAACACACTAGGGACAAGGCAGCCTTAAACAATGTTGACATTGAACCCAATGAGTATGTCACTGCTGGTACTATTAGATCTTTACGCAGCATATGACACGATACACCACTAATAACTTCTATCCCGGTGCCATAATGGTATTGTTTTAGAATGGTTTCAATCGTATCCTTAATATCGCCACCAATCTGTCATTGTCAACCAGAATATGTTCTTTTTGGCGGTGCTGTTCCCGAAGCTTTTGTTTTAGAACCAGTGCTATTAACCGTGTATTATTCAAAGCAGTCTGGGGATTTTCTCTGTATGTCACCAACTGTATGCTAATGGTACCCAGCAATTACATGTTACCGGATCAAAATATGATGCTGATTAATTTCCGCCAACACTATAGTTATCAATAATTTAGGCGTATTATTGGATAGTGGTGTGATTATGTTACAGCTCTATCGATATCATTGATTCTATCCCACCTTACTTATAGGAACAGTCATTGGTCTCCCTACAAATCAATTAAATAACCAGCCAATCCAAAATCTCACAAGAAGAATGATCACAAGATCTACATCGAAATGTGGATAACCTTTGAACTAACCTTGATTGTTGTAATCATCTTCGCATTGGTATCCCTAACTAAATCACCTTCAATCAATCCAAAATCTCATAGCAAGAATAGCCACAGGATCCCCAGCTCATTGCTACATAACACCGGTTCTTGGAACGACTGCTCATAAATACTTTGGAAGCATACCCTGTTAATTGATAGTGAATATATTCTTACCAGCGGCTGCCAGGCAGGATACGCCCACATTTTGCAAGACATGGATAGAGAACAAGCTATAAACAAAAACGATTTTTTGTACAATCAGGGGCCATAATCCAGAAAGTTATGGTCTGAAATGCGCAAATATCAAAAGGGACTGAGATTTTAGGAATATAAAGATATGTTATAAGTTTCATCAAAATCGGATAAAATTTGTGACCTCTAGAGGGTCCATATCCTTTGTATTACATACTTATACACAATTTGCGTACAAAGAGCGGTTATTTTGTCGGCCTTTTTCATTTCGATTTTCCCGAAATTCCAATTCAACCTCCATTATGTTGGAATGGTGATATATCTAAACGGTTTTTACAATCGGAAAATAAATTGTGACCTCTAGAGAAACCACAAGCTAAAAATGCGATTTTTCGACCAATCAATGGCCATAATCAAGGAAGTTACGTTCGGATATGTGTGATTATCAAAAGGAACCAAGATCTTTATGATAAAGACATATATTTCTATTTCATCCAAATAGGATAAAAACTGTGGCCTCTAGACGGTCTACAACCTTGATATACCACATGTGTACACTATTTGCGCACAAGGGGCGGTCATTATGTCTGTCAGTTTTTGTCCGATTTTCACGAAATTCGAACTCAACCATCATTAGTGTATAACTGTGATATATCCACACGTTTTGTTTGGGTTTTTAGGACCACAAGCTCAAAACGCGATTTTTCGTACAATCAAGGGCCATAATTCAGGAAGTTACGATCCGATATGCGCGAATATCCAGGTTTCATCAAAATCAGATGAAAATTGCGACCTCTAGAGGGTCCACAACCTTGTAATACCACATTTTACACTATTTCGTACAAGGGGCGTCCATTTTGTCCGGCAATTTTGGTTCGATTTTCACGATATTCGAACTCAACCATTGTTAGGGTGTAACAGTGATATACTAAAACGATTTTGTAAATCGGATAAAAATTGACCTCTAGACGGACCACAATGTAAAAACGCGAATTTTCGTACAATCAAGGGCCATAATTCAGTAAGTTACGATCCGATATGCGTGAATATCGACAGGAAACAAGATATTTTGGTTATAAACATGCATTTCAAGTTTCATCAAAATCGGATCTAGAGTATCCACAAGCTAAACACGTGAATTTTCGTACAATCAGGGGTCATAATCCATGAAGTTATGGCCCGGTACATGCCAATATCGAAAGGAACCGAGATCTTTGGGAGATAACTTTAAAAAAAATAAAAAGAAAGAATACTAGTTCACTATAATCATAACATAACCCTTTGTTAGTGGCATTTTTATTTTTATTTCTTATTCTAATAGCTTTGGTTTATAATGATGTATGCGCGAACTTTTATTCATCTTCGGGACTGTTATTTATGTTACTGAACGCCTCTGTAACCGTTTTGTTGTTTTCATTGTGGAATAACAGTCGTATTTGAAAATCAATAGTTTGTCCATAATTGTCATGATGTTTACCATTTAAACGAAAATTGTGAAATAAAGATAATACTTTAAATCCACCCGATTACATTTTATTACATACTTCGAGAAGGTATTTGTTGAGTAATAAAACCTTCTAGTAGTTTATCGAGGGCTGGCCGTCTTTACCGCACGGTACAAATATTATCACCACTAGAAGCAACAAATTCCAGAACAAACCAGAACTCATACCAAAATGGCCGCTTTATACAAATGAGTATTTAGGGGAATACTAACCCGAACCCTAACCCTAACCCTTTTAAGAGAAGTAAAACCTAAATTAGACCTAAGTTCAGTCTTTTAAAAAGGGTTAGGGTTCGGGTAAGTTATCCCCAAAATTCTCATTTATATAAAGCGGCCATTTTGGACTCCGGAAACACCCGAACCTCGATAAACTACTAGAAGGTTTTATTTGTACCGTGCGGTAAGGACGGCCATCCCTCGATAAACTACTAGAAGGTTTCATTACTCAACAAATACTTTCTCGAAGTATGTAATAAAATCGAATCGGGTGTTAAATCATAATGTCGGATGCTGCTATAATATTATCACGACTTAACTCACAACTCTCAAACTAGTCTGTTCAAAGAGAAAACAGATTAGTAACACTTCATATGTTTTGTCTGTTGTGAAAAATCAAAATACTAAATCGAGCTGGATTATTTCTGCAGAGGCTTTACGTTTATTTTGTTGCGGCTACGTAATTGTAGATCCACCGAACACATTTTAGACTAACAACATCAATTCGATTATGGTATTGATAAAACGTTCATGATGTATCCTTTTCTATGTATTGCAAGGGTCAATTATAGGAACAATTGTTCAAGTTTATAATTGGTTTGTTCCGCAATCAGTAATTACTAGTCGACATAAAAATATATAATTTGTCATTTGTTTTATTTAGCAAATGAATAGCTCCACCCACTGAAATCTATCTTAGCTTTTTTGTAATACTGTAAGTATGGTTCAGATAATTTGTTTTTCAGATCAACTGAGAGAGTCATCATGCCGAACAAAGATAGGGTTAAGAAGATCCGCCATGGGTAATATTGAAAGAGCCAGAATTAGAACGCTGAAAATGACTTTAGTTATAGGTAATTTTCTTTATAAATATAAAGCATGCATGTATTTTGTAAAACATGTTTGGGTTATAAATATGTATATTTTACATTATCTTCCTGTAGCAGTAAAGGGCAACGCATACTAAATATGTTTTTGTCAGGTTTTTTTTGTAAGGACAAATATGATAATTGTGCTGTAAATGTTTCGTTTCGAGATTCTGCTAAAAAAAAGTTTTAAAGTCGAATATAACTGGGTTAATTTGGTGTGTTATTTAGATTTGTGGAGGGACGTTTATTATTTGAGGTATTTGTGTATATCGTGCTCAGTTAGTGGGGTTGTCTTCTGTAATTGTTATGAAGGGTTTTGCTTTGGTCCATAACTTTGATTCTAACTAAGAATATTGTCAACTTCGACTATATATAGATAAGCAGTTTGGTCACAAAAAGATAAATGTGCAATTACTTAATATGTGTCATCCCTATATTATAAAGTGTTTGTTCGCTGTGTGTTTTTTTAAACCCAAAACTAGTTACAAATACAAACACTAGCTTCATCCACGAATGTATTATTTTAAAGAAAGACTATCTTATCACAAAATAGTTTATACTCATACATTCGATCATATCAGCACTTTTAGTTTTGACGAGTTTTCAGATTATAAAACTGTGCATGTGTAAAGAATCTGAGGACGATTTATTAGAGCACTATATTCCTTTGTGATGGATATATAATTAACAGCACATTGTGCCTTAAAGATACTTTATGTAAGACCTAAATCTGACTTGTGTAGATCTTTCGTTTGGCCTTCAATGTTAAATAATTTATTTAAATCTTGCATAATGGCATTAATGCATCTTTAAGAAAATACATGTAATTGTCTACACGTTATACATGTATATTCGAAATAACCCAAGGCGACTATTTGAATCTTTAAACTTATCTTACCAATAGACTTAATTGTATCCTTTGTTGCGGTCAACCCAATTCGACTAACACAATACAATAGTATAGTGCTCAATTTGAAAACATTGCCGCGAATTATTAACGCAAGATTGTCCCTTAAATTACGGGAAATTAGTCATTTAGTGTTTTCGACAGGTTCATTTATTTTTATGACCATGTATAAGTCTCCATGGATTCATATCAAGTAAAAGAAATGTAACCGAAATTTCTTCATCAGACAAAAACTGTTATGTCTGGGGAAATATATAGTGTAGATAAAAGATGGTTTGAATCATATATTTGTTATTACTACATATTGTATTAGTATTGAACCACGATAACGATATTAGATACTGTATGGAAATTAGAAAATATATTCTCGAAAAACTTTCGACTTATATTTACAATATTGTGTCATTTAGTGGGTATATTTCAAGTTGAAATATGTCATTATTGTTCCTAGAATTTCCAGAATGATAGACAGATATAAAATTAATGTTTCCGTGAGCAATAAATGATTTGATATAAACTTTCAATCACAGAGAACAGTGACAGGAGTTAGCTTTAAAGAAAACCCACACTGTCCACAAATCTTACATATGTGGTAGAATGGATTAGTCAGATTCCAAAAATAATTTTTTTAATAAAGATTTCTAATATGGTTGTAATCGTGACCCTCATATTTCGGATGTCAGTTGAAGGCAGGAGATTAGTTGCCGTTGTTGAAAGAAATACAGTGTTGCAGCAAACGTTTTTTTTAGCTCTCTGAAGGCGAAAAGTTTTTATATGAGAATCTGGATATCAGAACGAACCACAATTTCTACAAGATTAACTGATTTCAAGAAGACCAGAAAAAGCTAGAAGCAACAGAAAGAACCGAACCGTCATGAAAACGATGGTTCATATCGGTATATATCTAAATAAGATTGTCTTCTCCACGAGGATTACAAGTCGCAATCGGGCGTGTGCTCTAAAACGACAGACTAGGTGATCTTTTGTTATCAAAGACTACTTTATATTTCACATCCAACAAAATAAAAGCTCTGCATCGTGTATTCATGGACAATGCATTTCTGTCCTTATTTATAATAGATATACAGTACTTACAAATCACGAATCTCTACTTTACTCATTAACTACTGTATTACTATTATTCCGGCACATACGTATTTGACTTTTAAAGGAAACGTTAAGCCACCACCGATTAGCCAGTATCAATTATTAAGATATTTTATCCGATGCATACATAACCCATTTCGTCGATAATTAACAAATTGACACACTCTGTGTGTGTATCGTCGTGGGAGGAACTGCTGTGACCGTAAAAAAAATCAAGTCAGCATTCTCCGTAATGCATCGGACTTTTATAATCAATGTTACAATATTATAGTCTATGTGCCGTTCAAATGGTAATTATAATCAATGGATAATAATAAATGATATTCCTAATAGGTAGATACATGTATGATATTTGACTGGAAAACAAGAGCAAGTAGGTTAATTTCTGACAGCAAACTGTCAATATGTTAAGCTTTCCGATGATATTTTTCTTTTATAAAATCTCTAAAGTGATTTTGGAGAAGCAATTTAAAAACCACAATGATAACCATTTTATAATGAAATACCGAAATATATAGCAATATGGTGCTCATGTGGTTTTTCTTTTAGTTGATAAGAATTGATTCCACCCCACCCACAATTATTTTTGTGGTCAGTGTCGCAAACAAGTAAAGTAAATTTCAGAATGGGATATTGCCCGGGGTCCAGGACAGTTAACCGTTTATGTTTTCGGAGGCCATTTTCAAATTTAGAGATGCCTTAATATTGAACCCATTGCAAAATATAAGGGGCCATGAAAATAATATATTGTTAACATAATCTTTTCTGTATTTCAGTTGGTGTGTTTGTCTTGTGTTGGACGCCATATTTTTTGTTATCTGCGTGGTGGTGGTTTGACAGGTAAGTGTATGTATAGAACTATTAATCCCAAACTCTTGACATCGCGGGTTCCTTTACGTGCAAGCCAACGTGTACTTGGGACCTAGGATTTTCGTCCCATCTGACCGACAGGACGCTGTCCACCGTCATACACCACTGACTTAGCCAATATCCGGATCGAGCCACGGAACATCTGGTTACTGACGTAATCCCATTTCATTTAATTTCAATGTCAATGTAACAAAAATATGGGCGGATTGGCGGGCTCTTTCAGTGAATTCGACTGTTTAATCCTTTTTGGGTTAGACAAGTTACAGATGCATTATGTAAAATTTCGATAAAGACCTCACCTTGTTTGCTATATAATAGTTCAAAAATAGATAATGAAGAATGTATATATTGAAAATTTCATTAAAGTTATTTTATTCCGGCAATAGTTATGACTGTTTTGAGATGTAGCGTAGATTGTGTATTATTATAGCCACGGTATTTAGCCTCGATTATACTTTTTATAGTTAAATTTTAAAATCCATTTAAATCTCGGCCACCCAATGCTCGAGGGAGATGAGAGAGAGAGAGAAATGAGGTTTAATGTCCACTCGACACAAACTAGGTCATTTCGGGACTAACATATGTTTTTTTAATTTTTTTATTTCAATAATTCGCTTGCGCGTTGGGGTCTTCGAGGGAGATGAATATATCGGTAAATTTAGCTCTTACACAATGCATCTTTAAGGCAATTCTTGAGTATCCGCGATGATTGTGATGAAATTAATTATAAACCTGGACATTTGTTTTATTGTCTGGGACTTTCAGATATTTTAAAGACTTTATTGATCATTTGAAACAAACAATCGAGCCAATACAAATGGAAACCGTGTTTTAACAACTAAATGCGAAATGTTAGTGAATCCTAATAAGTATAGAACATGTAAGTGAATCCGATCAGCTTCTAGCGGTAATAGATGTAAATGTCGATCAAACCTAGATAGAATGTCAATTTATTCAGCACTCATATAACTAGATAAACTAAAAAGGAAAGACAATTCATGTATCAAAAAGCTTTAAATTGACATATCATACAATCGCATAAAATTCGAATTAACCCATTTATAAATATATCGGATGTCAGAATATTATGATGTATTGGGCAGTTTACGAAGTATATAATTCGATATGGTAAACATCTCTAAAATAAAGACTAAAATCTTGGGTAGGCGGAATTGCTTTGAAAATATAAATAACTTTACCAAATTTCAAGCCCCTTCGCTGCCCAAAAGACTGCATGTTTATCCAACAACAGTCCGAGTTCGTTAAAGAGTGTTTAAAATCAGTATTATATATTTATATTAGATTCAATGTATAAAGTTGCGTGTTCATTAGTGCAACAACTGCACAGTTCCCTTACAGCTCAACTACCGCAGTTCCACAAGGGATAACTAATCACAAACGTTAGTGTGGCTTTGTACGATTTGTCCTTTGGCGTCCATGAAGTCAAATGCCAACGAAACGTTAAATTTCATTTCATTCTTTTCATTCGATCGACAGATTGATGATATGACTATGTGCAATTGACAGAACTTTAATTAAGTCGGGTATTGGAATTAATTGCTATTTGGTGTGTAAATAAGATTGTTAAGTTTGCAAAATTATGTCTTGCAAACAAATTATGTATAACTCTGGATTATTGTAAAATATGTGTATGCAAATGCAAACAAGTGAATTTATAATGAATCACTATTATGCCAGTCAATTTTGAAATGAACATTTTGTTACCTTCACACTGTACAATAGACATTCAATTTATTTAAACTGCCTGAAACCATTGATTTTATAATTGCCTAATTAAATTCCTAATTTGCTATGCCTACTAGACAATTCTTTAAAGGTGAAGCTGTCAGTTCAGTCAGGCGTATATTGAAATAAATTGAAATAATTAAGCCCCTGGCTCATTAATTTTCACGCGCAAAGAATTCGGGAAGAATGATGAATAGTAATTTTGTTTGGGAAACGGGTATTAACTTAATATTTGGTAATTAACTACCTTATTTACTGCTGGGTTATGAAACACAATCAATACAAGCTTAACACAGATCTGTAAATCCAGAGCCTGAAGGTGAGAACACAATAAAGCTGTTCATTCTTTTCTGACTTCTCTGACTTAACAAAGTTGCTCTTGTCTGTTTTCCAACAATACAGTCAAGATTTGGGAGACGTTCTTAAAACTCGCTGCCCACCAAGTATAGCACATGTAAAGATTTGAGGAATAACACATGTGGAGATTCATCCTCGGTATCCCAATGTTCTCATTCCGTTCTACTCCACTATACCTTGGGTTAATCCATAGGATTTCCACGATTTCAAATTATGTGCCCTGACCTTGATTGTAGCTAAAGTCTACGAACCAATCAAAAAACAGTTTACAAACCAGTCGTTTCGCCTTCGTATTTATAAGTGTAGATAACCCTTTAGGCTAACTCCAAACCTTTACCGACGAGAGTAACGATTTATGGGATTGGTCGATAAAAATAACACAATCAAGAAGGGTGGATAACTTGAAAACGTGCCCCTCCCCCATAGATTAACCCAGGGCTTAGTGGAGTAGAACAAAATGAAACCACTGGGGATAACGAGGATGGTGGAGATTATGATGTAATGTTCCAGATTTTTCTGATTTGGTAATTCCAGCGAATAACCATATAACCATTGATTTCCGTGACATAAATAAAATGAGCATACCATTTGCCTGATATGGCATGAACGCCGGTGTTATGAGCATAATAATATTTTATTTAGTTATAGTTAAACCCATAACCAGGTAGAAAATTAAATTAAATGAAATGAGGTTTAACGTCCTACTGTTCTGCTCCGACTGGGCTAATGAAGACGGGCATACATCATACCTCGTACAATGTGCTATGAGGAAAATTTTGCCCTGACAGCGGCACTGCGGCCTACTTTTATATCCAATTCCGACTGTCAAGGGGCCTTTTACGTGCATGTCAATGTGTACACGGGACCTCGGTTTTTCGTACCACCCAAACGACTAAACGTTATCTTCTGTCCAGTGTAGTAATATGGACGCGACCATATTATGTCTAGAGACGTCATATCTCACTCACTCAATTTGAATGAGTGACAGGTTTTTAAAAAGGTAATATTTCTGGGTTAATAACAAAATAACACGCCTGGCACATCTGGTGGAAAGTTTCTACTGTATAGAAGGGTGGTTCTTGACGTCATGAGGCTTAGTAACCAATCATCATAATTAATTACATAATATTTGATATGTTAAATAATTGACAGCACTGTCTCGAGGACACTGCCATAAGACTGATTTATATCCTATAGAGTTTAGACACGCGTTGCGGGAGAGATATCATGTAGATTCGTTAGTAGATACCGCGCCTGTGGTTGAAGAGACACCATCTGGATTCAGGTCGTAAGAGAGCAAAATGATGTAGATATCCGGTAAGTCAATGATTCTCAACCAGTGTGCCGTGGCACACAGGTGTGCCGCAAGATCTTCCTAAGTTTGTCGCGCAATTTTGAACGGCACACTAAGAAAATGCGAAAAACTATGTGATCCCAAATGAGTGTTCACTGGTGTCTACTGGTAAGTTTATGGTTGTGTTTTTCTTTATTTAGTTGGGAATCATACTATTCGTCTATGACTAGTCTGTGTCTACGATTGTATGCCGTCTATGACTTGCCGTATTTTTATTTTGCAAAATTCAAATATTTCTCATATATATATATATATATATATATATAGCCAGGTGTGCCGTTTTGGTTATGTGTTCCAAAGTGTGCCATTGGCAAAAAAGGTAAATTCACAACGTAAAAGAAGTCCTAGACAATCACAAGGCTAATAAAATCTGTAACAGAGAAGAGGGTGTGTGTCACACGTTTGGAAGTATATGGGTTTGGGATTTTCACATCTACACCTGCACCACTAACAAGGGGGGACCACGCCGGAAAACCCCGATGAACATCATCGGCCAACGCAGGGATCGAGCACGGGACCTCCAGGTTAATGAGTCAGTGTCCTACCCACTGACCCACCGTGGCTCCCACGACCAGGTACACATAATGGTGGTAAGGGATCTCCAGGGAACAAGAATAGTCAGCATGTCGTCACATTGAATTTTATATAATGCACGCATCTTACATTATCCCGACGCAATTTGTCTATCACTAGCCACCTGGCGTCTTTGGGGGCTTGGGCTGTTCATTTTGGAAGGATGCGCAGAAATGTTCGGTCATGTTTAGATCCTCATCCATGGTTAATTTAATGCCAAGTTTAATTAAATTTTGCCCACTGTACTGTAACATTTCAGCCTTTACACAAAGTTGTGCGTCCGTTTATTTTTCTGGTAATAACATTTCTAGGTGTTACAACTAGAAAGTGGCCAGTTTACTTCTATTCCTTGTGCATGGGACTCGTGGCTGCTTCACTTGTTTTAATTTTCTTCATGTCCAACATTTAGTGCAATAAAAAGTAATATATAATTTTCAAGTAAGAATAAGCCGTTTGTCACGACATCGCATTAAACATATCCTTTTACATGGCAGTTTATTATTAGATTAGTAAACATCATTCATTTGGTGTCGTATTTCTTAATTATTTTCATGTTGTTTTACTTGACCTTATCAGGTCTGCTTTGGAGGATATGATAAAATAGTGTGTAGTATATTGTGCATGCCTACCATTAAGTTACCGAGTAGACAGAGTACGACAGCAAAAGGGAATCACTGCGTGGGCTAAGATTAACTTCGAGATTGTTCAAACCCCGGGCCGTTACCACTGTTTAAATTTAGCGGCCGTCGATCGATAGTTTAAAATAGGTTTGAACTATGTGAATTTAGCTGGCGGTAATATTATAGAATTGACTTGTAGCAACCATTAATGATCTGCCACGTGAGGCAGATGTGTTCAGTCATAAATCGACTGTAATAAAGTTAATTTGAACCAAGTGGAATTTATAAAGCAGACTTCAGGTAACACTTTGACGTAATGA